TAAAGAAGCTAAGTTGTCCACAACCTCGTCTGATTTGTTTTCCTGTTCCACAAGTCTTACTACATTCTGTGACGTTGGTCCATGTAACTGAAAAAATTTAGACCTGATGAAGAACGAATTAGGAGAGCAAGATGTTTTATTATCTGAATGTCGTTCATTAGATTCAGATGTCTGTTTTTTTATTGGTTGCAGTGGAGTTGAAATATTCGTATTTATCATGCATCATTGTTGACATTAGGACTGTGATCACAAACAACTGCATATTGTAAGAAGTGTTGCTTTATAAATCACGAAAATTTAACATTTTAAAACATAGCACACACGAATAAAGCACTTATGGCGCGCAAGATTAGCGCGAACCAAAACAAATACATTTGCTTACGTGCAATGACTTGTCTAGACAGCATGAGACAAAGTACACTCACTGCAGATACATGACTGCAAAGATACATATTTATCAACAATACTCGCTATTCTGTAAAACACAGTAAAAAGTAGTTTCAATTGTAAACGATGTTCGAATGCGGCGTTCAAACTTACTGGCAAACGTTTATCACATCGCCATAAAAGACGAAAAAAATATTGTTTTGTATTGTGCTTAAATATGTTTCTTCCATTTTGAGAGGTACTAAACTATGTGTTCCTTAGACATTTGTACCATGAATGGTATATGAGGCAGACATAATTTTAGGAATGCAGTTATTTTACCGTCCAAAATACGCTTCATAAACATGTAGAAACTAGAACTTCCCCCTGTAAAATAAAAAGTTGATGGCGATTTTTGCGAATAGGTAAATATATTGCAGCACACTGCAGTGTATATCAATGAATACGTTGTCAAGTTTCCCTGGGGCTACCACAAACTCACCGTAGTTATTTAAAAACCATCCCACGCGGAAATAAATAAAATTGCATGAACAAACAATTCATAACATAGGTTTTATCTGGAATGTGGTCGGGGAGATAAATTTATATATTTCCGTAGTTTCAGTTAGTCTGGTTTGTTATGCATGTTATCCATGGATTTGATGGTGTAGAAAACCGTAACCGTCCAGTGGATACGTGGGCCACCCTACGGCGTCGAGGAGTCCAGTAATCCTCTCGCACATATTTATTCCCCACGAGATTCGAATCTGCGAACCGCCGTAGGGGAATCAGCGGTGCGGTGGCGAGCCTAATCCTAACTTTCAGCACAATGCGCCACACCGCGAAACCGCTACTATTAATTCAATTTCGTGAATATTGACGGGAAATTGACTTGATTTCTATTTGCATGATCTAAAACACAAAAAAATACATGAACTAAATGAAATTTACAAATCTGTCCGCCAACAAGATGCGATTGCATTAAAACTAAAAAAAAATGTAAATTTATGCATAAGACTCAATGTTAAAATTTGTTTGTTTATGCCACCTAATTCAGTGCGCGTGGGATGGATTTAAAATGATTAAGGTCTATTCCCGGCTATAACAAAAAGCATTAGTTTATAATTGATATTACCGTATTTAAGCAATCTAATCTCACTGAACTTGGGTGAACGGTCACTAAACGTACCCAATAAATATCGTTTCACGGTCTGCTTTCACCACTACGGCAATTCATATATAGCTTATAGGTAGCTATGCCACTACTAATGATTGATCTTAATACTTTTTGCAAGCTTCTATGCATAGAAACACCTTCGGGCATGGAATTTTTCTAGCAATGCGTGTTAACTAAACTTCCCGCAATAAAATATGCATAGCTAGAGCCTAAATTGGCTAGGCCTTCGTTAATTGTAATGTTTGTTTGTATCAGTCTGTGCCATTCAGAAGTTCTGATATACCACAGCCTCCAGCGTTTTTCGAGAACTAAAATTATCAGATACAGTTGTTTAGTTAGGAATGATAAATTACGCAGCATGATTGGTATAAAAATGTGTAAAACGTGTAAATAAAGTTTGACTACAAGGTGAATGTAAAATGTGGTTTTCTTTGTTGACAACAGAAGATAGCGTTGTCACACCTCGTGCACAAAATACAGAGAGATAGGATGGACAGAATTTTGCATAGTGTGCAATAGTATGAAAATGAGGCAAAATGACAAGCATGGTGGTTTAAATTAAAAAGCATAAGTGTATTAATACCGCGATTAAAACATGTGTAACACGTAGCGGCTTTTCATCCGAAGGTCTTTTATCTCTGTTTTGTGTTGTTATGGGTATTGCAATGAGATTTCAATGAGAAATTCAGATTTCTTGTTTAGTAATTGACTGAAAGTTTCTGTGGTATCATGTCTCTGGATAAAACATGTTTTATTTGGTATTAGGTGATTTTCTATTTTTACGGACTGTGTGAAATAAATTTAGAAATGGGGAGTGAGAGACAACTCACTCTGTCTAATGTCGAGACAACTCACTCGTGACTAATAGGGTTGACATTTTGAACATACTTTTTTGTGATAGCATAAATTCCCGCTTTCTTTGCGTTTGGTTTAGAACAACAGCATGATCTGAAAATTCATAGGTTAAAATTATTACATTATTATAGAATTATAAATATTATTTAACATTTGATTCCTTTGCGCATCTAATTTTATGCTCAACGTAAACATTTAGTTGCAAATTTTTCGGAGACAACTTGTACCTTTAACAATGTAAATATGCAAAAATATTTCAAATCAGTCATTCCACATATTCCACCTATTTCGAAGTCTTATTAATTTAAAATGTCAATATTATTTTGCTTTGTCCACATATGTCCAGTTTACCTTTGAAAAAATACCATTGATGCAAGAATTTTTATTAATTTATAATATTCATACAGTGGGTTGATGCAGTAGGTAAATATGTCATGATTTTATGTATATTGCGACATCTTGGTGAAGCTGTCATGTCTGGTTATCATCTGGTGAGCTGAGATTTATTAGGCAATTACAAAACCCCCAAATTTCAGTAAATTTACAAATAAATCCATTTTCGATGTTCGTAAACAAAGTTTTGATATTTGACATTTTACAAATCTACAATGTAGAAATCTCAAAAACGAGTACATCCTGGTACATAGATATCTTGAATGTCATTTCCCTTTTATTCATATGCGTTCGTCAAAAATATATGTTGCTATTTACACGTGTATTTAAAATGTATTCCGCTTTTGATATTATAGTTTTCTCATTCGACACCTAAATTTCATTTTGCAATGAGCATGTATAACTCGAAAGGCATATTTATCTATTTCACAATGAGCATCTTCAATCGTAAAAGTGGTACTTCATGTACACTTACATTAGAAGATCCTTTACCTCATTGAATTCAATGATTCGACTCTCGATGACAAAAATAAAATAAAAACAAAAACAAAACGAAAAACTCCGATGAAGGAAATACAAAAACGTCAAAAACTGTGCGGAGTGTTCATAATGTAGAAATGACACGTGGAGAGAAGAAGTAAATAAATAAAAACCAAGAAATATTCTTTCATGCATTCTTTAAAGTTATGTTAAGATCAAACTAGAAAACTCATTGATTTTATATAATTCTGTATTTAGAATAAAAGTTGCCTAATATAATAAAACTGTTTAGGAAAAAATTCTACCACCTCATATGAGCCTTCGACAGTTGTACGTGACTACAATCGAAGATCATGTTGGTCGATATAGCGAAGAGCGCAATTACACAAGAGCAAGGAACCGAAAAGCTGATCTTGAATTGGAAGCAAAACTGAATCAAATGATTATTCAAAAAAGGGAAATGGTCTTGAAATTGAACAAGTCCATTTCAACAACAAACGAAAAGTTCATGAAAAAGACAAAAGCTTTCATGAAAAATAAGGATATAAGTGTTTCAATATCGGGAAAAAAAAGACAAATCAACACCGATCGAATGAGAATACCTAGTTATCGAAACACTCCGATTGTGTTCACTTTATGTGGAAATACAAACAACTCTTAAATCACAATAAACGAAACTTTAGTAAAACGAGCTTCGTTACATATAATCAGTTTTGTGTTCAGAATTTTATTTATAAAAGGCTATTGTATGATAGTTACGCTATATAGCTGTACATAACTCGTTATTACTCTTGTGTGTTTGGTATGTAATTACTCTTGAAAATACAGTGCCAAGATCGAAGGGTTTCTTATTCTATTGCTTTGAACCAGTCTGATGAGAATAATTTGTGAAAATATTCGACTTTTATACGATGACTTTCGTGATAAACTTCATTTTTGAGTTGTTCACCCCTTCTAATCGTGAATTGCCGTGAGCAGGCAATTTGCATTTTTATCCAAATTAAAATATCTACTTCCAGATAACGCTTTTGATAAAATCTGTAATATTTTTTAGGGTCGGTTCATGAAATGGTTAAATTGAAAAAGGAGAGTGGTTCTTCATAACTACTTACATTGGTTCTACTTTGTCGCTGAATTCAGTTCGTTAATACTTGAGAGCCAACATTACGACTGAAATGAGGTTAACGAGATTTTCAACAGGCAATTAAAGCGGTATTGAGTGTGTGAATTGCATCTTATTTTATTTATACAGCCGACGAAAATGGATATAAATAAATGAATTCGAAAGATAACATGGGCCATAAATAATTATTTACTAGAAAAAAACTTCAATCCAAATTTTCTCGTTTCTGAAAGTTTGACTCATTTGTTTAAATAATAAACAGATCCTTACAGACTTTTCAACCGGAGTTGACATTTATTTTTGAATAAACGATTTGACATGTATTTCGAGAGTTAGTTTTGTATTGATATAACATAGAAAACAAAATTTCAGTGCAAACTGAATGAAAAGTAAAGCTGTCCCAGACATATAGGTCAGTATTCAAGATTATTTTTGCAAATGCGTGAATATACCCAATTAAACTGACAGGAATGATGCGATTATGCAATCCTTACGTGATGATTATAACACCATATATCTAATTAATGTAATTCTGAAAAGAATTGTTTTTGTACCCTCTTTCTGACCGTCGTTCAAACCATAAAATACAGCATACATTTTTGAGAACCGGTTGAAAGTAAAACAGCCATTGATACAATAATAAATTTATCTAATAAAACAAATAAATATATCACTGAAATAACGCGGAATAATGGGTTGAAGATCTGTTATGCAACAAATCACTTGGACAAATAATTTGGACTAAGTGTTTGTGTGTTATGGTCGAACTCACGCTTGATCAGAACCCTAAGACTCGTAACGTATTGCAACTATCTATTGGAAAGTTCACATATTCTAACAAGATTTTGCGTTCAAATTGATATTTTTTCTTAGATTTCTGTTGCTTCCGTTTTTGTTTTTTATGTATCCCCAAATGAAAATAAAACAAATTTTTTGATATTGGGCAAGTTATTACTGATATGGTTTATATGTCTTACTATATTCAACATAAGATGACAAAATTAGTTTTTTTTTCATGAAGTGCCATTGCTATTTTTGCGTTCGCTGTTCGTCAATAATTCAATCCTGAATCCCAAAGTTGAGGCGGTGTGTTGCCTATAAGGCAGTAATCACAGTAGTCTCCAAAAAATCCATCCCAACATACACATCGAACAATTTTTTCTAAGGCTTTGACGTTCACTAAATCACTATATATCAAAGAATTCAAGGTTTCAGTTAAAATTTGCAGGAAGTTTATTTGTTCTGGGGAAAAAATAAACTTTGCCGGTCCATCATCAATTTGCGGAATCCTTTTGGCTAGGGATCCCTGCATTATTGTATTGTGAATAATATCATCTCCTTCATTAGTGTTATCTTCAAGTACTGCAATATTTTCGTTCCTAATACCGAAAAACATCATCGGTTGTAACAGCATCGTGTTCCATTCTATTACCATGTCTCCTGCAATTTCGGGAATATTTGTTGGAGATACCGAGGGTATATCCCTAAGCTCACAATTTCCGAACTCGCAAACATTATACGGACAAAGCAGTTCTTGAGATTGAAACAACAGATTGTATAACTTTATATTCATGTTGTATTTTAGATTTCCTGGAAATGAATAAAAGATCACAATTAGCATAATTTAAAAATAATATTCAATTGGTGCAGCCGACAACTATCGGACAAAGAAAGGTTGTTTCCAGCCCAAGTATGAGTGAAATTAATAGTTTGTGCTCGATGTTGGATCAAGTACAAGCAGTTGTTCAATGTGTGTTAAAATAAGAAATACTGTGCTCTAAAGTAGTGAAAAATATTTTAATTATATTCACTCATATCGCTATCAATATGTTATGTTGCAAACTATATTTATGGCTTGCTAATTGTCCGTCAGAAGCCATCAAATTAATGTGGACCTACGAAAAATTGCGGAATTGCATAATGCTGATGTAATAAGCGCTCAAAAAAAGAACTTTATGAATATTGAAAATAAAAATACTTGCATATCATACCTGGATTTGTTTGACTCTCTACGGTGTACTTAAGTGTTAAAAAGTTCTGGATTTCTTCTAAAAGGATTGACAATGCTTTTTTGTCTTCATGTGATATCTTCAGGCTTTCGGAAGGAGTATTACTTCCTATTGCAAATCATAAAATTCTTCATAAAATATTTCAAATTTAAAGCAGTTGCTTAAAACGAAAACTATCAAAAACTTCGTGTTGGGAATGAAAAATTATCTGAATATAAATTACAGTTTGCATTGTACATAATGTATATTTTTTGAATTTATTGTATAAATCATTACAATATCTTACGCGTGTGCTTATTAAGCACAAAAGTAGGAAGGTAACATGACTCATTATATATATATATATATATATCATGATATCCACCGCGTTAAACTATTGGGACAAGATGCATTGTCTCTCGTACTTTATTGAAACTTGATTCTATGTTCATGAATAGTATTTATTTGATCCGCAATCGCATATAAATTGACTTTGGAAATTTTGCCAAGTAGATGGAGTGGGTGTCCGTTCCTGATACGCACAAAATATTCCTTTTTCCATCCTGGCATTTCAAAAATAACAATTCTATCGGATTTCAGTTGATATGCAAATACTTTGATACAGGGTGGTTGGTCCAAGGTTGCAAGGTTGGCGGGCCGTAAAAACTTTTGAGGATGTCTCGCGGGCGCAGTATGAGAGTTTATCGTTCTAATCAGTTTTTGCAGAAAACTTTATAAAGCCTTTAGTTATTTTAAAATTGCTTCCCGAGAAATATCGTGGTATTTTCGGTATCTTTTCTCGTGTTTGGTTTTGTAATGTCGCTAATTATATTCTTTAGTGATATTTCATTTTTTACGTATTCAGGATGCCATTGAGAATATAATAAGATTAAGGGTACACTAAATCGTTGGGTTGTAGTCTGTTGATTTGAGTCATTAAATCTGAATGCAAAATGGTAATTAAACTAATTACCTTGTTATGTAAACTATAAATACTATACTGCAAATCAGTGAAACAAAGCAGTGACCTTCTGTCATAGATGTTTCCATGCATTCTATTTATTTTGATGCTTTGGGTCTAGTAATGTGTCAACCAAAAATGAGACAGATATATAGAACACAGAGTTTCAAAAAAAAAATTTGTATGAAGGTGTGAAAGGTAAGGTATCTTCTTTGAAAACAAATAAAGCAGAAAAGATGTATTGTAAGATATAGAAACATGTAACCTCGTTCCGGCATAGAATCCAATAATACCGTCTCACTTGAATATTTTTTTTATGATTAGATGTTGCAATAGCAAGTCTGTCATTGAATGTTCTAGTAAACTCCATTGCCGAAGACAGGCTCGCCTGGGCCTGTAAATCTATGTTCATATGTACGGTCGTTTATTGTAACAAATCAATATTTATGAAATCAAATAAAAAAAAAATAACACCGAAGCACTAGCAATGTATGGGCAATTGAGTGATCGGTTTCAATTCGATGCAACATGCAAATAAAATAATAGGCACCAAAAGCTACACAAATTACCATATATCTGTATTTTATCGGCTCTAAATTTTGGTCCGGGAACAGGCGCAGGAGGAAGCCACTCATATGGATTTGGCTTCGATGCAGAATTTGAATTTTCGTCGGCTGAAAATATTATATAACAAAACCAATGTGGCATTAGTCCGATTATGATTGGCACTAGAAGAAAAATGAGTTTGACGTATTTAGATTTCGACGCAAAAAATCTAGAAATGAGTTCAGACAATGTTCTAAAATATTAAAACCATTTGTCGATTTCCACAATGAGAATATTCTCTTTGTTGTTGAGACAAGTCATATATTCATAAATTATTTGCATCTACTAAATAAATGTTGGATGGAGGTGTTCTTACTTTTAAACTATATATAATCCGAGTATAGTACATCAAAATATTACCTGATGGTGTATGAATATCATCGTCGAACATTGTCGTTATTTCATCATCACCTGATTGAGGTTTAACAAGACCAATTCTAATCAAAAACACCAACACAAACCAAAGTGAAAACATCGCAACTACACAACGGGACACTTTCACTTAGTTTTATATGGTCGATTAATGCAATAGCAAAATACGAATGGCAATTCCGCTTACGCACGAGAACTTACATTGATAAGATGAGTAAATATATGAGAAGCGCAAACTCTTGTTCCGTTGCATCCTTCCTACGTACGCATTTCCCGTTATTTGTGTATTTTCTGTGCTAATTGAACACAACTGAATAAAAGTTACAATATGTAAATTGGTTTATGTTATACAAGCAAACATTTTGTTGAAACACGCCTACGGAGGCGTTTTAGGCAATTTTGTCATTTAAGGTGGGTTTGTTTGCTGTTATACAAATGCCTTAAACCAGCGGTTCACAAAGAGGTTAGGTGTGTCCCGAATATTAACAGAATTGTGTTAAACATAAACCATTATATGATTGAATATTATACATATTGTATTTAATATAAATGCTTTATTGTTTCTAATTTTAAATGCTGAGTTTATGAATCAATAAATTGATTTTGCCTTTCTATGTCGTTTACTTTCTGTTGTGTAGTGTATGTCCCTATTGTTACATAACAATAGAGTTAGACACTCCTTTGCGCAATTTTGTGAGCTGCAGTTTCCTCATCTGCTGAACAGAGTTCAGCAAATAGGCAGATATGAGGAAGAGTTCTAATTCGAAAAAGCGGCGAATGAGAAAAATTATCTTAAGTTTAGAGAAGGGTGGACGTCAGCATCCGAAATGCGTTATTTGCTCCAAATTTTTAACTGTCGAATGCATGTTGCCAGGCAATTAATTTAGTTTTGGACAAACAGACTTTTAGAATACCCGCCAGTGTGCGAAAAAGCTCTCCTTGTACTTTTTTTATTTGCATCGTTTCATCTCTGCGAAGCTTCGTTTTCGGCAGGTGCGTCGATCAAAACATTTGTACACGGAAAGGATTAATGTGCATGTGCTTAGCAGGTATAACAACGCGCTTTGAAAAGATTAAGAGCAGCAACCGCCGCACACCTCTCATTAGATTAGGGGTGACGAACCCATTCGCGGACCACTTTATCAGTCACCGCTGAGTGAGCGGGCCGCACAATCTTTAGTCGTACTACCGTATGATACCTGTTGATTTTCATCTACAAAACGAACAACGGCATCCATACAGCTGATGTTGTTCAATTATATAATGCAATATAAACGCTCGGCTCGGATGTTCGAGATCCGAATTTCCATTCGAATACCCCAGCATTTTTAACACGAAAGTTTGAATCTACTACCTTTATAATGTACATTTATAATGTACTGATTGAAATAAATTGTAGTCTTCGATATTTTATAGCAGATCTAGGGACTTCTCGGACGTTGATATAAATATCTAGTGATAGAGACAGTCAGTGATGCAAGAACATCATATTTGTATAACTAATTCGTAACATCGCAAAAATATGAATCAAAACTAAATATAATCGGGTAGTTGGAAACACTTTTTATGGCCATGGATTGATGTGATATTTCATCATAGTAATGTTCTCAATTTGTACACGCAGCCGCATGTTACATTAAACACAGAATTATAGTTAGAAAGCGATAAATTAAAAATAGACTCCTAATGGTCGCCAATGAAATACTTTGCACAACTGCAAAATCGCTAAACGACAACATAACATAACAGTAAAAAACATTATCCGTCGAGAAAGTGATGGGCTCTTTTCACGAGTGGCCTGCCTAATTGCGTCGACAGTTGCATAAAATTTTTAGGATTCGTTACGATTTACCCTTTCCCCCAATGGTAATATCAACCTACGCATTATCAAATCTTCCTTCATGCCATTTTGTGTCGCGTTAATATGCAAAATTCTGGCTGATAATGCCTCAGAAAAGTATTTCGGGACCCTTTGTACAAAGATAAAAAAAAACACCGCCTCCGCTCAAAATTGAATGTAAATTATAAATTATAAATAATAAATTTGTAAATTTCGCAGGCCTTCGGATACAAAAATTGTAAACGAGTTCTTCTAATAACGATTAACTGATTTTTAAAACGTAGGCATTTTTTGAGATTTACCATTGTTTTAATCATTGAGCAGAAGTTATAAAACTTTTTATTACTTTTAAATATCACGTGTATCGTGCACAAAAACATCACATTTTCATAGAGTGTGATTACTCCTCTATTAAACCGTATGCGTTTGCCGATAAGAGAGCGTAACTATGCTACGACAATGGTCATTTTGATCCATTGTTAGAGGTATCGATGATCCAAAAAAATAGATGTGTTGGAAATAGTGTTGTTGCCAGTAATATGAATACGGTAACACTTGCGCTCCCGTTCTCTCTGTACAGTTTTTGGAGGTTTGTGACTTTACGCCAAACATACACTGAATTGCCCGAATGATTCGTGGGCCGCACGAAAGTTCTTGGCGGGCCGCAGGTTCGTCACCTCTGCATTAGATAAATAAGTGTATATTTTATGACGTTATATTGTTAACAATGACTTTGTTCTTTAGGCATACAAGTTTACAAATTTTAAAAAGCATAAAATACACATCAACAATCACAAAATTGAGTTCAATTTCAAGGCAGCAATATTTTTTCGCGAAATCTTGCGGTGATATTTTTCCTGATGATTCAGCGCCGCACGAGCAAAAAGTTTGGGAACCGCTGCCTTACGTTTGTAATGAGAATATTTTCATAATTTAATATACGAAAAAAAGAAATGTAATTTCATGTCAAAAATATTATAAGAAATAATCCAAAAAGATAGTTGTACTTTGCCTGTGGTAACTTCACTTAATAACCCGATCTGTTAAATTATATTAATGATATAAAGGCATGATTCATCCTGCCTCGGTTGAAGATTTAAGTTGAAATTGTACAGTCTTCCGGCTTGCTATCTAAATTCTGATTTCAGACATTTATCACACATGTCCGTATTTTGATACTAGGTCTGCAAGAAATTGTCAATTAACATATGATAGAAAATAGATACTTGAAAGTGTAGCAACTTCTTATCGTGTGGGATCATCACAAGTGTTGCCTCGCTAACGCCTGCACTCAACGTTTGTAATTAATCAGGAATAGAAAAAATTGGCAAGCGCCACAATGCTCTCAATTATGTGCGGGTGGATAATTAGTTAATTTGCCGCTTGGGTGGTGTAGTTTTTGTTTACGCAACATTAGGTTGTTTGCTGCGACTCCGTTTAATGTTGAGTTGATAGTGAATAACGCTTGTAAGACTAAGCAGACCGTCGCTCATTTGTAGACGGAATCAAACAATTTCCAATCGCATGTAGCCGAAAATATGTACTTTGGTGATAGACAAGACTAACCAAATTTATGGATTATTACTAGGTATTTTCAGCCGGAGTTTAATCAGGTTTAAAATTTGTCTACAACCTACTTCATATTGTCTTAGTATGTATTTGATGTGTTATGTTTGTTTTATATAGGTACTCTTGAAAACAGAATCCACTGTTCAGTAGAGGCGCGCCTATATATTAATCACACATTTGAAGCATTGTATCCATGACAATATCGTCGTGAAAGCGACGTCGTCAGGAAATGAAGAGCTGTTGGGAAATAGAACCCAATATGATCTTCAGCTGCAAGTATTTAAATGTCGTTGAACTCAAATATCAACTTTTAAACTTTTAGAGGTAGAACACTACACTGATGGAAGCAAGACATAGTACACCTGTAGTACATAGTAGCAATTGCGGCAATGTGAAAACGTTGTTTTTGTATTTTCAGATGACAACGAGTATTGATACAGATTTTAATTGAAATATGCAGTAAAAGTGGAAGAATAGCGAAGAAGGGAAATACTTTACCCCCGTAGATCATCTACGGCAGAGTTGTCCAACCTTTATGGCCGACGGCCCACATGTACCGGTAGTTCACGAATGACTGCGCGGGTCACTTGACATGGTAGTTATGTTCTAGTTTTCACTACACCAACTACAGGTTAATGAAAAAACAATTTTTTTTTTATCTCACATAAATATTTCAATGTGACGTATGGCACTGCTTTTATCCAACAAGTTTGTCAATATTCGATGCGATGGGCGATGTAGGAATGCGAAGCGAATTTTTCATATGACTGTCAGCATTAGTGATCTCACGGGGGATTCGACATGGTTCATCCGTAAAAAAAAGTGCCGTCAAATATTGAGGTCACGAAAACTGTCTCTTCTAGCTTCACAGAAAAGAAAAAAAAGGGAAAGCAGATTGAAATACACGGCAGACGATAAAAATAAATTCAAATATCTCTCTCCAGCAATAACGCTCGCAAAGAGACTTAAAAGCTTTCGACAGATGAGTGGTGCTTCTTGCGCGTTTGAACGAGGAATAATTTTTCAATAGTGGCTCAGATTTATGAAAGATACCAGGCTGCGAATTATACCGCGCCGGCCACTCGGAAACCTACGACGGGCAACGGGTCGGACGACCATGATCTACGGTCTGGCAGAATTAGTAGGTCGATACCAAAAACACACTACCTTGCCAAATGAATGCAAGCATCTCAATTGAACGAAAACAACAAGAACAATGAACAATATGTTAACGGAGTCTATGTTCTCAAAGAGACTGTGCGCTTGCTTCATCAGTTTCAGTATACTTCGTGCATTTTCAATTATTGGTGAGACAATCAATACTATCTCATATTTCAGCTCGTCGGATGTAAACGCTGTTGCAATCGGAGCAGCGTGAAACTGTAAAGCTAAACCAAAATTGAAACCTTGCTGAATTGCTGGTTATTTGTTTATATCAATTATAAACCGATTTACATGCGCGAATGAAATGTTTTACCTATGCTCAAGTTCATTTTTTTGTCTATATCAGTGGTTCTTCTGGGTAAATGGCGCGGTCTATTGTGACGTTGCTATTATTCTATTACTTGTCACGGCAATTCTTTGGTGCCTTACAGGCTACCGTAAATATCTGACCATCTTTCGTTACCTCCACGTAAGTGGCGGCTTTCTACTAGAACTCATTCATTGTAGAAGAGCAGATTGAAGTCTATAATTCTGGATTTGGAATTAAAAAT